CCCTGGCCACAGTTACTAAAGGGAAATAAGTGAAACTGAGCTATCCAGAAGAGGCATGACATGTGGAACTAGAACAATCTACTCTCCCGAAATCAATGCAACCGAGCACAAGAGGGATAACTCTCTGAGGCATTTACAGAGACTAGAATAATCAAAAAACACAGATGTAGTGAGCGTGCAGAATGCATAATATAGGAAAGGGATATATTATTATAGAAACAAATAGATACGACAGAGAAAGAAAGAAGCATTATGAAAAGCCCAATCGCCCATAAATGCATGGAAAGGATTTTTAGAATAGATCAGTCCTGATCACAATGCAAAAACCACGGAAATACCTGTAAGAAAACATATTTCTGAAGAGAAGTATCGATTATTAACACCGCTTCTTCTTTTATGCCTCTTATCGATTCAGATTCAACTTCTTCATTTGATCTCCAGAGCTTTTTGTCCTTTTTAGCTCTAAGCCTCGTCTCAGTTCTGTTATCCATTAACATAAATATTTTAGTTAATTTAGCCATCGTTTTCCTTTGTCTCTCTTAGTTTAATGATGTCAGCTGTGCTAAATTCTCCAAGCCTACCTATCTTGTTAGGTTTCAATTTTCACTTTCTTGATATTAAGAATAAGTAATCTTTTTCTTCCCATATTCATTGAATCTATATTTTCCATTTATTGTCTCCATGGTGCTCATATCAACCATCTGGATCATTATATCTGTGAGAAAATTGTACAGCATTCACTCTCATATAGTAGAATTGATATTATCAGATAACTGCCAAATGTTAGTGACTGATTTTCATTTATATCTATAATTCTCAAAATATGTGTGTATGTATGATGTTTGTCTGATGTGTTTATGCCTTTCCAGTGTTTTCATCCGATTTCGATTAATTTTTTTTTGTTTGATAAATAATTCTTCAATGTCAGTTTTGGGTCCAAATTGTTGGCGACGATGGCTCTTCACTACTTCCTGTCCATTATAAATCTCAGCAACGTAATACTATTTCCTATCTGTTCTTGGATATATATCATTCATAAAAAAAAACTTTAATAAAAATAAATAGTTTAAATTATTACAATAATATTATTATTATACAGTTAAATTTATATAATTATCTATATCTATAAATTTCAAAAATGTGAGTGTATGTATGTGTGTGTGATGGAATGTTGTTTATGGGTTTCCACAGTTTTCATCCGATTTCGCGGATTCTTTTTTGTTTGACAGATAATTCTTCAGTGCCGGTTTCGAGTCTAAATCGGCTGGAAAAAATTACAATTTGAAGGCGAAAAATCGACAAAAAAAAAGTTTTGTTTTACACTTAGCGCAAAATTTAATTTACTTTTTCGCGCATAAACTTCCAATCCCAGTTCATGAAGATAACGGTAAAAATTACCAGTAATGAATGACCCGGTCGAAGACGGGTTATACTGCTAGTTGTTAATATAAACTGACCACAATTTGACACTGGTGTTTTTTTGGGTGCCGATTTCTATTGTATTCTTGATTGAAACCTTGCATCATAAAGTTACCAGTCAGGCTGAGATGAATGTTAACTGTTCAACAGCATATAAATCTTCTAAAGATGAACAACGAATAGTAGCACATTCGTTTTATTATTCCGTATGAATTTCAGGAATGAACTTCGATAAAAATCATTCGGAAGGTTTATATTGATCCTTCCCCAGCTCTTTAGGCGTCAAAAAGTGGTTTGATTGATTTCCTCGGAGTGATTTTACCTTAAACGATCAACTCTGCTCCAGGCGAACATCCGACAGTCTGCTTTTCATAGTGGAGAATAAACCGATGATTTCTAAAGAAGAGATTGCCAAGGGTTTGAAAATTGGTATCTTAACGGCCTTTCGCCATCTGATGATACCTTAGTTCAAGAAAAATGGCCGAACTTGGTAAATTGAAAAGGTGTCATTTTCAACCATTAAAAAAAAACAGAAAAAAAAACATAGACGCCATGTTGCAAAACAGCCCTTGAAGAAGTTTAATGAATCGAAATATGAAACCGTATTCTCCTGACGTGTTTCTTTTGCATTTGTTCCAGTCTTTACATACGACATTACATCAGACGCTTCTTCCCCAAAAAGACCTGACGTTTCTGTAAAAATTGTAACAATAACCGTGTAGAATGTTAGAAAACATTTTTTACAAACAATAGAAATTGTGTACCTGACTAATAAATGTTTTTTGTGTGTATGTAAAATTTCGTTTTAATTTTCTAAAGCGGAGCGAATTTTTGTAATGATCTAATGCATAGCATTTAAGCGCTAATTTCTTTGTTTAAAACGAAATTTTTCCTGTTTCTTCATACATTGTTTAGCTTTGAGATATCATCTTTCGCTGTTCCAAAATCTCAAAATTGCTGTTATGCAAAAAAAAAGCGTAGTTTCTGAAAATATAGGCCACAAAATATTAGAAGCGGTTGATAGGTCAAATTCCCAGAAATAAGCAAAGGGAGACAACTGAGACACGAAATTACGCAGAATTATATATATATATATATATATATATATATATATATATATATATATATATATATATATATATATATATATAATTTAGTGAGTATGTATGTATGAGAGTGGGGACGAATGTTAGAGTAAATGAAAGCTATAGGGAGGGGTTACAGACGAGGGAAGAACAGGAAGGTCTAAAGATGAAGGGGGATTAAAATTTAATAGAGAGACGTTTTAAAGAGGGCAGTCAAAGACGGTTGAAGTGAGAGAAATATGAATATTCTCGGATGTCGAATACATTAAAGATTATGTCTATCTATCTATCTATCTATCTATCTATCTATCTATCTATCCATCTATCTATCTATCTATAGATAGATATAAATGAAAAATCTTGAGTAATAAATACGACCGAAATAAGGAAAGATTAATTAATGATGCATTTGTGAGACTTGAAGTCTTCAAAATGATGTAGCTAATTTAAAAACCAGAAGTAATTATTAAGACAAAACACGTAGGCCTAGACATAAGATCATACAATAATTAGCAATGTGTATTTGTTTATATATTTTCTGTCCCATCTGTAGAGGCAGGTATTTCAACTTAAGTAAATTCCTGAATAATTAATTCCCTTAGCCGTTCTAGTAATCTATGCAAATAAATTATTTATAATTAATACATAATGAGTTCCCAGCCAAAATGAACTGTTTAATTAATCAGTTCCTTGAACCCTATGTTTCCTAGATTACAGTCTTATTTGTTCAAACTCTTCATGTGACGCACTCAGATACCTTTTTTTCGTCTTGCGTCAACTTGGGCTTACATTAGGATTTGTCATCGCCGACTTTGTTTCTGTTGCAAAAGTGTTCTTCCGAGAGATACAGGAGTAGTTGAAAAGTTAGTCGCCTGACCAAGATAAACAAAAATACAAAATAAAACTGTAAATAGACACGCCAGTTCTTAGACTAAAAGAAATGCATGTGTACCAGAATAAAACAGTTGGAAACATAAATATGTAACGTGAAAAGTTACTGGGCAAAAACCGATTTATAAAAAAGAAAAATAGATATTATTAAACGTCGAAAAATACAAAGCGAACGGATGAATTGAAAGGTTCATTGAATTCTATTTTACAACCTTGTGCAAATTGAAACAATTGCTTTAGTTTTCTTTCTTTAGTTCTTTCAGTTTTAGACCCACTGAAGTGACAGGGTGTAATCGGTTTCTATTTTTTTTTTCCTTAGATTAGCTTATTTGCTGTGGTGTGCAGTAATATGAATCTATTTCCGGAGTGTATGATTAAATTTGTTTGGCCATGAAAAATATTGTGAAATTCGTGATTGTATCAGATTTTTATCACACCAAGACATTATTGTCTCGACTGTTGATTAGTTGTCCTACGGCCACTCTCTACGATGGACGTTACTCCAAGGAAGCGGAGAAAAATTGCAACGATGCATAAACACACTGGCAAGCTTACCAGTGAGCAGATCAAAGTACTATAGACTGGCACGAAAACTCTCCTCTGTGGTCAATCTGGAAGGAACTACTTCGTGGAATGGGCATAGGAAGTACTAATATGTGGATTTGGTCATGTTTCATTGGAAAAATGCGAAATGTAAATAGTAACGGAATTATTTGTTTTGTTTCAATTAATTTGCACAAGCGTGTATTTATGAATCCTTTATCTACGTTTCATTGAATTCTACTGCATTGATTCAAGTCTTGTGTTTTATTACATCTCACTATTAAACTTCCCAACAATGTCTGTCATCTTTTACGGCGCGCGTTTATAGAGGTTAGACCAGCGCTGAAGAGAACCAATAAGCCCAATACAGACAAGGATGCGACAGAAATAACAACAACAAAAAAAACCCGTAGATGCCTTTTGTACTAATAAGCATACCGAGTTGTTAAATGAAATTTCTAACAGTGGTGAAGGAAAGACGTCAGTATATCAATTATTAGAGAGTTTCCAACTAAACTAGGTACAAATGTAAACAGGTGATACATTTCTATTATTCAAACACTAACAACGGCAGACAACTTTCTTTTTTACTCGCTTCATATTCTGTCGTCATCGGCATACGTCCGTCTCGAGATACGATGGAGTAGCGCGGTGCGTCACAAGCCTGGGCGGGATATATGGAGAACTAGGCCTGCACGGACGTCTAGTTCCCTCTCTCGGCCTTGCTAGCAGACTCCAAAGGAGAGGATAAACGAATACAGTTTGGTACCAGCGTGGCTGCAGGAGTTGCCGGAAGGTAACACAAAGTGACGTCTATCTGCCTTAGGAGCACCACTCCGGGTTTGAATTCAGTGTTGTCCTTCTTCTAGACCAGTTGCCATCCAAGCCTATAGAGCCCAGCTTGTCCTGATATTTACCCATAGCTAGAGGGGGAAGAAGAGGATTTACACCTTTCCCAAGGGTATTAGCACGTAAGTGAATGTAATGGATTCGACAGGAATTCGAACTCGGCTCTCCGATTCCTGAATCCAAGCCGCTATACATTACTCCTCGCTTTATATTATGAAGGACAGTAGTCTTAGGATTATTTATAGGATTAACAGAGAGTTTGAAGGAGATGTCCGAAAAGATGTATATCAACTGAACTGTGAAGATCGAATCGCTTCACTAAGGAATCTCAGTGAGAGAAGCCATATTGACTCTTCTAATTCTTATAAGCGTCCGAGTCTCATTGTATTTGTTTGATCTTATATCAACATAGAAGCAAAGGGGGTGTAGAATTAATTTCAACTCGGAATTAAATAGCTAAGCTGTTTCCGCTACAAAAAACATTGCATTTTTATTGGATCAGATTTAAAAGAAAAAAGTATATAAATAGTACCACTTTATTCATTTGCAACAAAAAAGAATGAAAGTTGCAGAAAAGATTAATTCTGAATTAGCTAGTAAATATTTTTATTGCCAAATTAAAAAAGTAACAAGAATTCATTGCATTCTGTCTAGGAATTTACAGAACTTGATAACTTTGATTTTAAATTGAGTTATAATTAGTTCCGAGTTGAACGTAATTCCGAGTTGAAAGTAATTCCGAGTTGAAATTAGTTCTGTGACTCAAGCAAAGACTGTCCATCACTGACTGGAATAAACGGCCTCGGTGCTACATGATCAGTAGTTTGCTATTTTCATTCAACATTTGCATTCCGTAAAACAGCATCAAAAATTACCTTGATGAACTACATTTCTGAACTAATAATTCTGATCCTAATGATTAAATCTTGGAACAGAATTTAACCAGAAATGTGACAAGATCAATATTGCCTTTTTATTTTCTTTGCTCAATATTGTGGAATAAAAAATGCAATACGCTTAATCAGAATGCTTCTACCTTAGAACACACACACGAAAACATATATATTATTTTATTTTATATTTTTTTACCTATACTTTGGCGAGAATAATAGATAATAGACAGATAATACAATTTGTAAATAAAAATATTAGACAAAATGATATCAGGGAAAAAATCCAAGCAAAAAAGAAAAAGACTAAAAGCATACGTGCTGCTTGAAAATAGTCAACCACAACAACAATGGCTAGGCAAAAGAAAAAAATATCGACTGCGTAACTTAAGTTAAAGCGTAAAATTGCTCAATACATTAAGTAGAACAAAAACTAGATTACCAAAAAGAACCAAAACTTAAGATTGGTTCTGGTACTTTAGGTAATCTCTCTCTCTCTCTCTCTCTCTCTCTCTCTCTCTCTCTCTATCTATCTATCTATCTATGTGTGTTTACGTGTGTATTCTAACAAGATTTGTCGAATATCCAGGTAGATGGAAATAAATATAATGTTTAATAAATATATAAAAGCATTATCTACTCAAATATGTAAATCTATTAAATATATCGTTTAAACAATAAATAAAAAATGTGTTAGATTATTAACTGAAAGATCCATTCCTATATATATATATATATATATATATACCGAGTGCGGCTAGTATTTGAGAACATACAGATTTAAGATTAATAGTGCTTCCCACTAACTTCTCATACTTTTATTTTACAGAAATCAAGAATGGCAAACCCGATGATAACAAATGAAATGAAAAGGCATGGTGTGATTGTGGCGTTAAAGGCTGATTATAGAGATTTGGATGGTGCACGTTTCCTCAGAATTGCAATATCGTTTGTCCACAAGACACGAAAAGAGTTAGAAAACGCTGACAGTTCCCCAATGTCTGTATCAAAACGTAAAAGACATTCTGCACGTTCTGACAAAGTGAGAACATCCGAATTTATTCAGGAAGCGAACAACTGATGAAAACCGAGGTCAATTAATGAGGTCAAATGCCAAAAAGCTGCATGTGTCTGAAACAACAATCAGAAAGAGTGTTCATGAAGACATTCGATACAAGTCCTACATGATAAATTGTCGTCAATTTATGTCTGAAAAAAACAAAAGAAAACCGTTTAAACAGATCCAAAATTCTTTTAAACAAACTTAAAAATCCTTCAGAAGCTGGTGTGATTTGGTTTTTCTTAGATGAGAAAAAATTTGATCAAGATCAAAAACTTAGCAGAAGAAATGACAGATAGTTTTGTTCAGATCCTTCTGAGGTGACAAAAGTGATGTGCACAAAATTTCTCTCAAGTGTTATTGTATTAGGTGTTGTTAGCAATGAAGAGCATGTTACGCCACCGCACCTTTTTCAAAAAGGTCTTAGAGTAAATGCTGCTGCTTACATTGAGGTTCTAGAAGTAGTTGTCAACCTCTGGATTGACAACACATGCAACGGCAGGCCTTACATATTCCAGCAATAGTCGGCTCCATCCCACAAGGCTCTACGAACACAAGAATGGGTGGCTGACTATGTGTACAACCAAATCACACCCAACATTTGGCCTCCTAACTCTCCAGATCTCAATCCACTAGACTATTATGTGTGGAGCGTTGTTAAAAATGAGGTTAATAAACAGCCTCATAACACCAAAGACTCTTTTGGAGCTGCAATAATTCGAGTATTGTTTTACATAATAAGGACCAATAAAAGGAAGCCGCTGATAACTATTTATATGTGGCTTCCTTTTATTGGTTCATGGGGAGCGCTTATGGCTCAGCGGATCTTGTCTGCTGTTCAACTGTGTTATTTTTCTGCTTAACTAAGGATTCATTTTGCGACTCGTTCTGCCTTTTCCTCCATGCGTAGGGATCCACTTCCTCCACATCATGTTTCTTCGGTGATTTATTCATTTAATTGTGGTTGTGGTAGCAACTACATAGAAAGGACTTCCCAACGATTGAATTGTAGGATTAGGTAACATGTTCCATTACATGTTCTTAATTCTGATGCCCGTAAGAGACAGCTGGTCAATACTTCCGGGTCAGCTATCACTGAACATCTTATAAATTGCAGGGATTGTGCAATGAATTTCAGTGCGGAATGGTTCTCTGTTCTGTCTAGTTCGCATTCTCCTTTTCCGACACTGGAGTCTCTGTACATCCGGTTAAGCTAGCCGTCTTTTTGTAAGCAAAAAGACTGACTTCTTTTTTCTAAACGGTCACCCATCTAAGTAGTGAGCAGGCTTGGCACTGCTTAAATTCAGTGAACGAACAAAAACCTGAGGTTTCTGCGTGAATTAAACGTGTGCGAAAAACCGAAAATCAGCTCGAATGAGTCAAATGTTGTAAGCAGATCTTTTGGCCATATGAGATTTATTGTTTACTTGTTTTTTGGGGTTTTTTTTACCGCAATTATTTTCAACAACTCCATTGTAAATTGCCATCATAAATGTTTGATGTCAAATCCAATCTGACATTTTTAATAACTCCATCTTTTACAGGGGGATTTTGAGTAGTCTTTGAAAAAAAAAGAACCTGGGGTGGTTTTGATCCTCTAATTGATAAAATTTTGATAAATGGTTTTATATTTTTTGCTGAGATTATATAAGCCTCATTGAAAAAATCTAATTTATAATATAATTTTCTCTTTTGCCGAACACCAAATCTATATCCCGTGTGAAATAAATTTATTAATATTTTTAAGTTCATATGAAGAGTTATTAAATCATCGAATTTTTAATATTTTAATATAGTTTAGATCTATTCATATGCTTCATCATCGAAAGCACATTTTCACATTCTGCACTAGATGTTTAGAAATCCGATCAATGTGATTAAACAAATCAGTTGACCATACCAGGGCTTCATTTAGTTTTTCACAAGTAATTGTTTTCAAAATCTGCATTATAGTCCATTAGAGGAATTTCAATACGAAGCAATTATCGATTATCTCTTCTGCTAGAGAAGCATTTTGCAAAGGAATGAAAATGGTGGTAAGCAGGTCTTTGATTCCCCACCCATTTCCTAGATTTGGAAAATTATTTTTAGATGGCTGTGAATTATGAATTATGTTTCTGAACTTATTCCATCGTCAGTTAAAAGGTCATGTCTTTCTGTGTACTTTCGCAGCTAGCACTTCACGTATATCTTTAGAGTGGATGTCCAAAAACTTTATATCAAGAGGAAATTCAAAGGATTAACAATTTTGAAGTTACTATGAATTGAAAGTAAATCATCCTTTTTGTAATGATTTGAGATCCCTCTAATGATTTATTACGCTTTCATGCCTGAACTTCCCTATCGTATTGTGCGCTTCACGAAGAAAGAGTGAGAAGGAGATCAACAGGATTAAGCTAATCGGTTGACAACATTCACTTATTTTTTTGGGACGTATTCATTTTCAAATTCCCCATTGTAAGGTCGTTATTATAAATTTTAGACGTTAATGCAAATCACTTATTCTTGATCTCTTCGTCGGATAGCGTTTGATTTTGAAAGGATAGTAAATATGGAGGATAATGTCTTTGATCGCACCAATGCCGAAGATTTGAAAATTGTTTTTTTGTATCAAGGTTCAAATTACAGATTTAATTAATTAATATATTTCAGCGTCATTTAAAAGGGCGGATTTCAGTGAGTCTTTAGGATACTATATAGCAATTCATGTGCCAGTTTCTACCCACTGTCATTTTGTTAATTTACAGAATTTATGATTTCTATGTCTAAATAAATATATTTCTATATCTACAAAAATACATTTCTATATCTAAATAAATACATTTCTGTATCTACATAAATGCATTTCTATATCTATCAGGTCATCCCATGAGTTCTGTCCGAATTTTGAATAAAGAAAAGAAGTGACCAAATGTTACATTTAATTACAGATTCAATCAACAATGTATTTTCCCTGATTATCTATGACTTCCTTCCATCTATTAACAAGCTTACACAAAGGTGTAGATACCTTCTGTAAAATTCTTTTGTAAATGTCTGTAAAATTCTTTTGGCTTTGATTCGAAGAACTCCCAAATGTCAGTCTTAACCTCTTCCTGTGTTACAAAAGCTGTTTCTTCCAAATGATTCTGTAAGCTACGAAACAAATGGTAGTCTGAGGAGCAAGATCGGGAGAATAAGGTGGATGAGGAATTTTCTCCCAACCAAGTTCTTCGATCTTTTGTGACGTGATTCTTGCTGTGTGAGGTCGCGCATTGTCCTGATGAAACATCACCTCTTTTCGATTCACTAGAGCATGTCATTTTTTTCTCAAAGCTTGGTTCAAACGCTCTAATTGCTGGCAGTATATTTGAGCATTAATTGTTGCATTAGGTGGTAAGAATTCAAAGTGGATTATTCCTTGGCGATCCCACCAGATTGAAAGAAGAATCTTTTGCTCATGAAGTTCCCTTCTCGGCTGTGGCTGGGGTCCTTCCCCTTTACCAAGCCACTGTCTACGACGCTTAACATTTCGATAAAAGATCCATTTTTCGTCGCCAGTCACAAGTCTATCAAAAAAAGGTGAAACAAGTTGGCGAGAATGGAGAGAAGAGCAGATGTCAACTCGGGATTTGAGGTTGTTTTCAGACAATTAATGAGGCACCCATTTTCTAAGTTCAGGGACTTTTCCAAGTTGTTGAGGATGACGATGAACAGTTGTATGGTTTGAACTGAGAACCACTGCCAATTCCTCAACTGATAAAGCAGGGATTTTTTTAAGGGCTGCTTCAAGAAGCTTTTCATCAAACTCAACTGGACGTCCGGTTTAATCTTCATCTTCAAGTGTGAAATCTGCACCTCTGAATTTTGCAAACCATCTTCTGCAAGTTCTTTCATTCACACATTCCTCTCCATAAATTGAGTGAATGTTTCTAGCCGCTTCGGCTGCTGTGTTTCCTTTCTTGAACTCATAAAGTATTATGTGCCTCAAATGATTCTTGGGTACTTCCATGTTAGCATGGTTTTAATAAAAAAAATAATTTTATTGTTCTCTGAAACAAATTAAAATTTGATCAGTTTAAATGCATCTAAACATAAGAATAATGTTCAGCTCTATTAGACATTATAAAATACTCTTTAAATTTCGTTCATTTTAACAAAAAGTTAAAATTCGGACAGAACTTATGGGATGGCCTGATTAAGAAAAAAAAAAGAAAAAAAAAGGAACCTATTAACTTGAAGGGGTCCAGAAACAGTGTAACCTCTGTATGGAATAGACTGACGCTGATATAAAGATCTTGATTTGTTTTTTTGCTTGTTTGTTTAACGGAATATCATCTCCTGATGGGTCATTTAATCTCGAAATTTCATTTTCTTGGGAGGATTAGTAATTTCATTTACAAATATATATTACTGCTCATTTTGTTTTCAAAAGTGCATTGCTGGCAATTTTCTTTTTTTTTTTTTTGAATGAATTGCTGGCAATATGTATGTTTCCAAAAATATATATTGCTAG